GACGACAGAGAAACCCAATGGTCCTTGAAGTCAGAAAAGTATTAAAAATGTTAGAAAAATGTTGACTGGTGTATTTTCACTGGAAAACTCCACAATAAATGCCGCAAATATTGAGAAAAGGCGGCGCAAAATCAGTCATTTTAGGCGGCAAAAATCAGTCTTTAGGAGCTGGTTCCTTAAAGGGGTGGTTGATTATGATTACGCTCAAAGTTCAAAGCAAAGGGAGATATTTTCTTTTAAACAAATTGCTTTTTAAGGACTACAACAAACGACTGGTAAGGGACTACTTAGTGAAATCACTAACCCTAAAATGTATATAAACCCCACCCCCGGGAACGCGATTTATAGATTATCAGGAAAGAATATGCTAATCAATGACTTGAAGATAGTTAAAGGTACAATATGTAGGATTTTTGCAGTAAAATTTCCAAAAACCACTAGGCCAATGTTATATATTTATATGTTATATACAAAAAAATGTATATGATATTTTTGCTATATTGCCAGCCCACCCCTGTGTGCAGACAGAACAACTTTACACATTTTTCTATTCCTGCCCACAGGCTCGACAGAGGGGTGGCGCCAAAATCCAAAGTGCATTATGGTTGTTGAAGTTTCTGGCAAAAGGGAACGCCAGAGCCCTTTTTCTGATTTCTTTTGCTGAGGTGCTGTGGTTTTTTGCTTTGATGTCAGTCAGACAGGAGGGAGCTTCTTGGTCAGAATAAGCTATAAAGTAAAACAGACTTTATGCTGATTGTCAATAAACAAGACTGGAGGAGACTGCTAAGCCCCTTCAAGAAGAACTACATTGGACGTTGAACTTGAACGTCACTTGACGTTGGACTGTCTCCAGTCCTACAGCCAGGGTGGAGATAAGACACTGATTCTAAGCATGTAGCCTACATGAAACACAATCTGAAATGCAAGAAAAAACATTTAAGCTACTCTCTAAAGTCACACACACCTATGAAAACGTCAGAATATCTAAAAAATATCAAAACCACAATAAACTGTCCAGACCAAACATTCCTGGAAACGGACACTGCCATCTTCAGTGTGACATCCCAATATACCCCAAGTCTGGCCATCTGCCATGAGCTTTTACTCCTGGACATCCACCAAGTCAGTATTAAACAAAGTACAGCGGCTCTCTAGCACAATGAGTCTGAGAAGATTTCCATCTGTGTTGATATCTGACCATGCATGCCAAAACTTAACTCCAGCAGCACGCAGTATGACAAAAAAAGGCCTTTTTTGCAACACATGCTGTGCAGATTCAACACCTGCTGCACATGATGTCTTCCTCTCTGAAATTTTCACATCTTCACACACACATTTTCCTTTCGTGGCAGCGGAGGTTGTGGCACCGGCACACGAACAAAAACTTCACAACATGCAGCACACATTGGTGTGCGCTATCACTGAAAATACACACAACTTTGACACATACTGCTTTTATATCACACTTAGTTTGCACACTAGAGAAATGCACACACTAACTTTGAATGTCATATGATGATAAACATCACATCTTGCTTTATTACACAAAAAGCATTTGCATGTATCAAAGTAAACTTGTGATTACCTGCCACCAACTGTGTTTGGCTGGATCTGTTAAGCCTAAAGATGCCTTTTCCACTATCTCCGACATTCTGACGTATGATTGTCCTACAGAACTTTCAAACTGGTCGTGATGCAGCCCTTCACTTATTCACCACGGTAAAATTAATGAATAATGAATATACATTCACACAAATTTTCTGAAAGAAAAATCATAGGTTTTCTAGGGCTAATCAACAATCATTTTCAGGGCACAATTACTCATAACCACCCATTTTACAGTAACCGTGTTTAAAGATTAACAATTTAGTGCAAAAATATTGGTAATTCTTACCTCACACTCATAGTTTTGATTAGAATACATCACATCCGGTCGAGTGGTTGAACACAGCCGCAAAAGTTTGAATATTTCACTCAAAGCTCAAAACGGACCAAGATTTTCACATACACATATGGTCAATACTCAGCACAGATCTCTCCATTGGAAATTAATGACATCCGAACTGTTGTTTGTCAAAGATGGTGGCTTAATCTGTTCTAAACAATCTGCTGAATCATAATACCAACTGGAACGAATAACTTCCTAAAGCTGATCATTATCAGCATCTGGTTGAATGAACTGGTCTGAACTTTCAACAGTCCTGCTGACCTCCAGCCAAAAAAGACATTTTCCCCTTCCTTTTCTGTCTTTAAGTCATTTTCAATCCAGAAAATAACTGGATTAAAGATAAGGAGAGGGGGACTGACACCACATAATTGGTTTATATTCACAGACAAGCCTAGTTCTAGACTTAAGGGATTTCCAAAGAGAACCACCCCTGACAGAGCGGTTTAATCCATCTCTAGTCTTAATCTACATCCAGGAAACAAACTGACAATGTTTAGGAGACAAACTAAAAGTTTACAGTGCTGTGATTCAACTGAAGTTGAACTGCTCTGATTGTATTTCGCTTAGCCAGCATGAAAACCAATACAAATCTCTCATTGACTTCTGCTTCTGTAAACCTTAATCTTAGAATGTCAAGAACAACTATAAACATATAATGAATTTATTAAACATGAAGAACAGTAAAAAAAAAAAAAAAAACATTTCTTGAATTTATTATCAGGGGCATTTTTCCTTACTTTTCACCACCAACTCTATATTCTTTTCACGTCAAGTCTTAAAGACAGATGGCAAACCAATATTTTAAATATCTCCAAGCTCTGGTTAATTAATTTAGGATCCTGATGCTTGCAGACCATGCCAGAATGAACTATAGGCATAGCATACAGATAGATAGATAGATAGATAGATAGATAGATAGATAGATAGATAGATAGATAGATAGATAGATAGATAGATAGATAGATAGATAGATAGATAGATAGATAGATATGCTCTTATCAGTGACAGGCAAGCATGGAAAAATATCAAGCAATCAAAAAAAACTAAAAATTTACATTACTTGCTGTTCCATAACTTAACAAACAGAAACACTGGTAGGCTACTCAGTTTCAGTAAAATTGTACAGAAAGCTGTTCACCCAAACTACGAGATAAACTATAACGCACTCATTATAAACAACGAAGCGTGCAGTGCAGACAACGTTTATTTTAATCGTTCTTGTTAGACGCGTCGACTATAGCCGTTCGCGTTTCCATACGCTCAGTCGCGTGAACAAACAGGCCCACTTCATCCACGACGTGAAACTTCAAACAACTCAAAGGAATTCAACCCGACAATACCTTTTCATTCTGCCTTGCCCATAATGAAACATAAACATATATTTGAACAAAAGTACGCGAGCGCTGACTATTTGACTAACTAATTAACTAGCTACAGAGAAAGCGTTTGAAAAAAAGACAACACCCAGAATGAAAGTAAGGCAAAGCTCTGCTCTACCCACCCTTACGTGAGATTTCCAGGACAAACTATCCGCTTCGATTATTCATTCATGCATTTTCCGTAGTGATTTCCAGTTCTGAGGTGGCTTAGAGGATGAGGTGACCTTGTAAAAGCGTTTTCGGCGGTTAATCTGCGGTGTTTTGGAGTGGTTGAGGGAGTTTGCGGAGGAATCCTGCTCTCGGTGAGTGTTGTCGCAGGCGCAGCTCTGGCTGGAAGTTCCTGTTGCGCTCTACAGGGAGATTCAACAGGAAACTCCAGCGCCGCAGTTCTGCACATTGCCGGCAGGGGTTCAGGAATATAATTGTCCGTGAGCACAGAAGTAGGCGTTTGAAAATGTGAAATGTTGGTTTATCATGTGAACTCAAAATGTGAAATGTAAATATTTAAAATAAACATTTAACTATTAAAAGTTAAGATACACAAAATCTTATATGTAATTCCATACACTCCCGTGCTATTCTACTGGGTTTTCCACACATCATATTTACCATATGATTTCTTTACCACATCATATTTATTTTCCTGTATTGTGTACTTAATGCCAATTAAGTTTTTCTTGTTGTTAGAGTGACGAGAGTTACCTTAAGTTAAGTGTGAGATGCGTATTCACTACAGTTCAGAAGTTTGGGGTCACACATTTTTTTAATGTTACAGAAAAGTCTCAAGGCTGCATTAATTTGATCAAAAATAGTGACATACTAATATTGTGAAATATTATTACAATTCAAAATAACTGTTTTCTGTTCTAATATATTATTTTATAATGTATTCCTGTGATGCCAAAGCTATTTTTGCAGCCATTACTCCAGTCCTAAGTGTCACATGATCTTTTAGAAAACATTTTAATATGCTGATGTTGCTCAAGATACATTCCATATTATCAATGTTGAAAACAGTTGTGCTAACATTTTACTTTACTTTACTTGCTGAACAAACATTTTTCTTCAAAAACAAACCCAAAACTTTTGAATGGCAGTGCATATGAAAATGATGCAACATTCTGTATCTCAAAATCAGGGCAATTATTTTAATATATGCAATCCATTCAGCACAATGAAAAACAGCTTTAAGCAACCACAAAACATACAAATATAGGCTCGAACTGCATACAAATGTAGTCTACAATTTTCATTGTTAGCTCATATTATGTACAGTACTTAATTATTTTCTATTCACTGTTGCATGTAATATACATAATTAGATCACCTGTAAATTAAATTGCTTTTGGCATGTGCACTTAACATATCCATTGCATGTAGAGGACAATTAAGTTTACATCTGACATATTGAGCCTTAACACTGGCCAACAACGCTGAAAAAAACAAAGTCAGACTGGCCACAAAACATTACATTACGTATCTTGATGCAGAAAATGTGCTGTAGACAGTAGACAATTTAACACAAGTTTCTCTGGTGACAGACACAAAGTGCTACTTCAGTACCAATGAAGTGCTATTGTGAATTTGTCTGTCTCATGTGCTATGATGTCAGATATCCTGGTACAGACAAACAAGAACAGTACAGCAGCCGTCATGCAGCAGTACAATAAATAATCTGTGCTCTGGATTGAAGCCATGTTCAATCTGTTAACACTGTTCAAATCCCGCCATTAGTGACAGCGCCAAGGACTCCACTGTAAAATAAAATAAAACATATATGGTGAGTAAAACTAAATATTTCCAGGTCATAATTAGAAGCAGTGGAGAACTTACAATGAGGAAATGAGCCTCTGCACACAGCCTTGTTTAAAATGGTCACAAGAAACATGTGACAGTTTTTAAAATCTGACTCCATTTTGTCAATCGACTCGATTCTGAGGAAGAAAAGAAACATAAAGAATGGTAAAAGCCATGTAAAAATAGCTAAAGAGAAGTAAAACCCCATCCTCTTCAAGCTGATGTGAAAGCTGTAAGATGAGGACATGTGGCAAGATGGAAAAATCTGAAAAGATCCCATACATGATGTAAAAGTTTTGAACTTACTTCCAGGCCCCAAAACCAGCCTGCCATCTGTCTGAGAAGATGAGAACCAAATTCAGCACTTTCATGATGGCCTCCTTGACAAAACTGACCTGCAAAGACACAGTAACCACAACTGATGGATCAGAAACAACACAAATATCTATTACAGTTTAAAAGTAAAAACTAGGCCAACCACAATGAGGAAGACAGCTTACTGAATTAATAAAAAAAACTGCAAATGTGGCATGTAAGAATGAGCCAAAATCTAAAACATGTACTATTTGTTTCCTAACAGACATGGTTTGGCCTGTTTAATTTCAGCTTACTTTCTCTCTGAGCAGACATCGGTCATGAATGGTGGACAAGTATCTGTAGTGGATTTTAATGAGCTGGTCCAGGTCCTTTGCCTCCTGCACTTGGTGTTGAAATTCTAGACCTGTACTATGTAGGATCTGTGAATGAATGCATGGTAAATGTCCACATGATGATTAAAAAAAAAAAGAAGGTTAAAATCAAATTTCTCTGCATTTCAACAACAACAAAAAATTGTCTGAACTCTACTGCAAATAAATAAAGTCCATTTTCCATATGTCAAACTCACCCTAGTCATAATGTAGTTGTGCAGGCTGTTGACAAAGTGCATGAGTTTGACCCTCAGGAGAAACATCCTGTGAATCTGCTGGTTTATGGGCTCTTTGGCTGTGCTTTCCTCAGATTGGCCTCCTTCTTGCCTCTTAGCGGCTACTGTCAAATCTGTGGGAAGACTGTATTTTAAGATTCCATAATAGCAAGTGAACTGAAACCATCCTGATTTGAGAGTACAGTGAATAAAGATAGTTCTTATGTCACAGGAAAAAAAAAAGACCTGTGATCGCAGACCAAAAATAAGTTACAATGGAACGATCAAGTTAAAGGGATGGTTCACCCAAAAATGAAAATTGTCATTATTTACTCACCCTCAAGTTGTTCCAAACCTGTAAAAATGTCTTTCATCTGCTGAACACAAAAGAAGATATACTGAAGAATGTTGATAACCAAACAGTTGACGGCACCCATTGACTTCCATAGTATGAAAAAAAAAATGGAAGTCAATCGGGTACATCAACTGTTTGGTTATCAACATTCTTCAAAATATCTTTGTTTGTGTTCAGCAAAAGAAAGAAAATCAAACAGGTAAATGATGACAGAATTTTCATTTTTGGGTGAACTTTCCCTTTAATGATTTACATTTACATTTATTCATTTAGCAGACGCTTTTATCCAAAGCGACTTACAAATGAGAACAATAGAAGCAGTTAAACTAACAGTAGGACAACAATACGTAAGTGCTATAACCCCTCTCAGTTTAATTTTAGTGCAGTTTTTTTTTTTTTTTTTTTTTTTTATAGAATAGAAGAGAAAGTGTTAATTCTACTGAATCAAGTGCTGCCGAAAAAGCTCTGGTTGAGCTGAGTCTACTGACTCAGAAGCTCTGGTTGAGTTAGGCAGATCATTCCACCAACAGGAAACAGCCATGGTAAAGGTCAGAGAAAGAGATTTTGTTTATGAAGATTTAAATATGAAGTTAATGACAGATATGAACTACATAGATATTTTATTGGCTTGCGCATTTAATAGTGTATCTTTACTTTTTACTTTGACTTTTTATACTTTATTGTCAGACGAGTCTGAAATTTTTCTTGCATAACAGTGTCTATGTTTACAACATCTAACATACACTCTACATCGACATACACATACACTTAAACATCACATATTATACATTCAAACATTACAACACTTATACATCTAACACCTTCACAGTACTCTTGATTTCTGATTAAATGTTTAATCGTTTTTCGTTTTTGTAATAATATCCACTAGCTTTATTATTAGCGTTTTTGTAATAATATCCACTAGCTTTACTTCCCTCTCATTTGATTACAAACAGAAGTAAAAAAAAAAAAAAAATCAGAAATGCAATCATAACTCACCACTGAATCGTAATGTGTCCAGACTATACTTGGCCCATTTGATCTGAAGCAGCAGTAGGAAGACCTGATTGTAGATTCTCTGACACTCTGAACTAATAACAATATCTACAGGCCATGGAACCTGGTGAGAGAAATTATACACAAAAATGCACAATTTATAAAAATAGATACATTTACATTTCAAAACAGATCAATTATTTTAATGTATTATAAATGTGTTAATATAATCATCAAAGCAAAAAAAGCTAAATGAATAGTTGAAATTCAATTCATTGTAACCTTATAACTCAGAGTAAGGCCATCAAGGTTATTCACTGGCTGTTTTTTTCTTGCAGGATCGATAGTTTCAAGAAATATGGACAACCTAGAATCATGAGAAAGATGTGAGAGAAACATTAGTGAACCACAGGATACTGAGTGGTGACAGGTAGGGTTGAATGGTAAACCACAGGATCTCTAGAGCGGTCCATCTGCAGTACCGGCTGCTGTCCTCTGGGTGGCGCTGTCCAACAGCCTCTTGCAGCTGCACATTGAGGAATGCCAGCTGCTGCCAGCTCTCCTTCTCCAGAACTTTGTCAAAGATGGCAGTGTAGAAATCATACATAGTATCCCCAGCCTCCAACAGGAAGTAGTTTCTCATGGCCTGCAAGTACCCTAGAAGCCTGAGATTAAAAAAGAGAGGCTTAAGCATAAATGCTCTAGAAAACTATATTGTGAGGTTTGTGCACTAAGGATTCTCCAGCAGGATCTTACCTGTAGTCTTTCTTCAGGGTTGTCATGAGGTTCCCACAGCATTCGATGTATCTCCTCTCAATATGTGGATACAGACAGGAACGGAGCGTAAGCTCAAACGTCTGACATGTCACAGACTCGGAGGAGCGGTCCAAAATCACACTGCCGCCAGAGAATTTCTCGAGGAAGTCATTCTGCTCTAAATAAAGCCTGCAAAAGATACCACACATAACCTTTTCACCTTTGTGTGCTCTTCAGTGAAGTCAAATCATTTATTCTGTATTCTGCGGTTACCTTGCAAAATTAATGGCCAGCAGGGGGTCATGGATGTCATCCAGCTCCAGATGACGTGCTACAATGGACTGCATCTTGATAAGGCTCTTTTTAGTGGCCTGTTGCTCGGTAACCATGTTCGTAGGTGATTCTTCTCCATACCGAAGACGTGTCTGCACTGACTCCAAGAAAAGCGTGTACAGACTCTTTCTTTCGGCATCTGCAGAGACACAAGTGTCAGAAATATTAAGACAATCTTGTTTATCATCAAACTTTCTATATGCTATAAGAAACATTAAGGGTGCGTTATCGGCCGATCATAGCTTTATATAGTTTGATCGGTGGTCTCTATAAAGGCCGATCAGAAGAGCTGATCAGATGACCCAAAACTCGGGAGACAATTTTTTAGAAATATTATAAAAATGAAGTAAGACAAACAAATGTAAAAATATAGATATATAAAAAAGAAAAAATTATTCCTTCAAGGTTGTTACCATTAACAAAAACGACACTTATAAAAATGTGAAAATGCAACAAAATGAAAAAAATGCTGAAAATGTATTAACCCTCTGGGCTTCTTCGTCCGAAATTGACCGAAAACGTTTACATTTTGAATTGTTTAATTTTTTTTGCTTCATCGGATGGGGGTGAAACTTGGTGACTTTTGTTGTATTACCTATATGAACACACACAAAAATCAAGGAGACGATTCTGATATGTTAAAGGGTCGTAAAAAAAATAGTCACACTTAGCTTCCTCCCCGGTCAAAAACGGGCGACATAGGAAATGAATGGGAAATATGAAAAAATAGGAATGGGAAATATGAAAAAATAGGAAAACTCAGAGAAACTTTTGGTGGTACAAGCTACAGATCAGCCACTGTGCAGAAAAAAAGTGTACAGCAATGAAGGGGTGACACTCTAAAACATCAAGAGTGCAAATAAGACCCCCCCCCCCCAACACACACACACGCACACAAACACACACACACAGATATACTGGCAAGACTGCAACAGCAAATTAGTAGAATATCCAAGATAAAATCAATAAATGAAGAAAAAAAATCTCACTCAAATGCACACACACACAGAGAGAGAGATAAAGAGAGAGAGATATAGAGAGAGAGATTAACTGGTAAGACTGCAAGAGCAAATTTTGAGAATATGCAAAAATAAATAAATAAAAAATACCAATTTATTGCTAAATGTCTGTATAAAGTGTTTTGAATTATCACTAACCATCCCTTATTTTGTTTAATTATTTGAATGATCAAATACTGAGTAACAAAAATGTTTGCATTGTGTTCCCTTTCTAACCAAATGCTATAGTTTGATTTTAATCATAATGCAAAACCTGATACTTATCTAAAAAAATTTGTTAAAAAATAAAGTAGTCTTTTAGATTATCTAAATGTATATCTAAATTTAAAAAAAAAACGAATAAGATAGAGAAATCATGTCTAAAACAACAAAAGGAATCAAAAAGCCTTTCTAAGTATTTATATAGGAAGCTATAGGCAGCCTACAGGCTGGTACAGGACATTGCACACATTTAACTATTTTTTAAAGCCACCAGATGGCGCTCTTCTACTTGAACATTTTTTTTTTTAGGCTGGCACTCTATTTTGATGTGAAATGTTGCATTTATTGAATTTTTTTTTAAATAAATATAAAATAAATATATATATATTAATTCTAATGGAAAAAATAGCTCATAAAAATTATATAATTAATGCAAAGTATCATAAAAAATTATACAAATTCTAAATAATAATCAGAAAATATTATAGAACAAAACAATATTTGATTGGTTATCCTAGGAAAAAGTAAAGTTACATTTTAAGGCTTCGTCTGTTTTTGACCGGGAGGAAGCTAAGTGTAACCCATTTATGAAGAAGCCCAGAGGGTTAACTATACAGAACTACAGAGAAAATTACTTCTGACTATCAGTATATGAACCATCATGTGACGTATTCATGTCATGGGTATAACTGACAACAGACTTCAGTAATAAACTAGCATGCAGCAAGGTAGTAGCAGAAATTACAGAAATTAAACGTATAATATAAAACAACTATATTAAAATTAAAATAGTTGCATTTTGTAATTTCAGTAGATTCAAGAACTATTTTTTTCTTCAGGATTCAATCATGAATTTTATGTAACTTCCGCTTGTTTGTGATTATGACAATATAAAAAAAAAAAAAAAAAAAAGTCATTTTCTCAGCAATTCTTACTCAAAGAGCTTGATAATAATGAGTATTAATTTTAGATATGTCCTCTATATAAGATTTTATAAATGTCCATGTTTTTCACAGGTCTAGAAATCTTACGCTCATATTTCAAATTTTGTCTTGGAAAAAGACTCTTGGAACCCATGTTTCTTAAAAAAAATGGAAACAAATGAAAATAAATAATATAATATGTGATGGGACTTTTTTTAATTAATCATAATTAACATTTATTTTTCTTGCAGGATTAACAATTATATGCTTTTGAAACCTGAAATGTCCCCAAACAGTCAGTGTGTGGGCGTTAGTGAATCATCTCCAAATATAACAAAAGGGAAAATGAAACTAGACATATCTAAATTTATAAACTCATGACTTTGAGTAACAAAGCTTCTACCTAGTAACAGAAGGGTTTGCTGAATAAGATCATATTGGAGAAAAAATATGTCCTGAATTATGTCACTTTTGCCATGCTCGTATTCTATAAAAACGTTTCTTTTTGCTGGTAGGATTCTCTCTGAAATTGGTCTGAAATCCTCCGGCCGTGATTGAAACATATTCAAAGCCATTGTCTAGAGTCTGTCAAGTTAATGCTGAGCAGCAGGTTAGTGGAACACTAGAGATCTTATTTCCCAAGTGATGATAGTGTTCATAGGGGTCAAAACGTTGACCGACTCAGCCGACGTCGATTAGGAGACGCGCTAGAGGATAAATATGATTGAACGTCGATCAGGAGACGACCCAGGTAAACCTAACTACAAATAAAAATACAAAAAAAAAAAAAAATCTACAAATGTCAGATACTTTTCATCTTGATTTTTAAAAGCTTGTTTTGTCTTACTTTAAATCGTTTTACACCATCTTACAGCCTCCCTGAAAGTGTGCCGAGACCCCCGTCTCCTGGTTAAGAACCATTGATTTAATTGATGCAAACACCCTCAAACAGAAGTCTTGAATATATTTCTAAAAGTCTGTGCCATAAACACAAACCGGTGACTAGTTGTTCTCAGACGCAACCTATGGCTGATGCAGGATCTACGTAGATGCAGTCCACTTATGAATCACAAGTGTTCTTAGATAACAAGATACTGCTAAATGTAGCAGCACTGGCACATTTATAGCACATGACATTGTCAGTAAATGCTGCAGTGTTGTGTTGTTATATTTGACTAATTTCTTTTATTATACGGGATGGGCACTGAAACATAATGAAATGAAATAAAAAATAGCCATTTTCCAGAAATACATAAACTAAATTGAAACTGAAAACCGAAATACAAAACTTATTCTCTCTGACACTGACCTCTGGAGGAGCCATCTGGCTGTTCGGTCTCCTTGCAGTCCAGGTTTTTCAGCAGCTGCATGGATTTGCCAGCCATGATGATCTGCTTGAGTACAGGCTTGAGGAAGGACACCATGGTGTGCTGTCTGCTGCTGGACGCCTGCTCCCCACCAGAGCTTCCACTGGCAGCGTCGCTGAGCCTCTCCTCGTTCTCCACCGTCTCAGAGACGCTATACAGCGTGTAAGTGGCATACCAGAAGTCCCTGTGGTTTACTGGTACATCCTTGTTCCTAGTAAACATGCCCATATATTTGTTTTTTTGGCAGGCAGCTTTGTAAATAAGCAGGATAATGTGAAGTCATCCGGTGGTTAGTGCAAAATAAACCCCAAAAGAGTGATCAGCACCGAGACACGTCACTGAGGGGACTTATATCACCCTGGTCTGAATGGATTTATTTTGCAATAATGACCGACTGACTGTACGTAATTCCTTACATAGAGTACATTTCAAAAGTTTGAGGTCAGTAAGATTTTTTAAATAAGTCTCTGATGGTCACCAAGGCTGCATTTCCAAAATGCTAATTATAAGCGACACACATACAGCACTTGCAGAGTAGCACTTACTGTGAATCGAAACTGAAAATGAACACAGTGCTGTGCTTTACTCTGAAAAATACAGTGCGACGCGTCAATCTATGCATGTTTAATATATTTATAGAATTACATCACAACTGTTGCAATTTGATGGTTGCACTCAGCCATTTCACATTCTCACAACCATGCATTGTCAAAATTGATTAAAAAAAAAGTTACCCGGCAACTGGCGAGTCATGCTCTTCAGGTCGGGAAATATGGAAATCCGTATGAATACAGAAAAATCACATCCCTGAATATTGTGAAATTTAACACAATATTTACAACTATTACAATTTAAAACAACTGTTATATTTTAAATATTTACTGTAAATATTATACTGTAAATATTTTAAAATATTGTAAAACTATTCCTGTGATTGCAAATCTGAATTTTAGCAGCCATAACTCCATTCTTCAGTGTTACATGATTCTTCAGAAAGATTAAAAGATTCAAGAAAATTTTTAAACAGTTGTGCTGCGTAATATTTTTTCTGGAAACTATGATATATATATTTTTTTAGGATTTTTTGATGAATAGAAAGTAGAAAAAACAGCATTTATTTGAAAGAGAAATCTTTTGTAACAATGTAAAAGTCTTTCCTGTCACCTTTGATTCATTTAATGCGTCTTTGCTGAATAAAAGTATTAATGTCTTTCACCAATTTGCCCCCGAACTTTTGAACGTTAGTGTACATACACATTTATGTTTTTTTTGTACCTCTGAATTATAAACTCTTTGGCGGGGTCAAATAAGTGACCGTGAACGATCCATTCATCTACAATCTCAAGGTACGGCCGGACCGTTTCTACCCAGAGAGAGAAAAGGAGTGCCACCTGATAGGAAGGGGGAAAAAAATATTTTGTGATCTTAAACTTTTTATGATATGAGCGCTACATCTACGGTACTGTTTGAAACAAAAACAAAAAACAGGCACACTTACAGACTGCTCAGAGGCCTCGCCTGCGCTGTCATATTCTATGATGGCCTTGTAGAGGGTGTTGAGTAAGTGTGATGCTCGTAATACGTTGGGCGTTCCTGGTGGCACTTCAGCCACTCCTGTGCAGAAAACCCTGTGCAGCATCGTGATCTGAGCCAGATGAGGACTTAACCGTTCCAGCACAGATGATAGAGTCACTGTCTCATCTATGAAGAATCATAATAGAATTAATACTATAGTTATACAAAAACAACTGAATACATTTACAGACACAGAAAAAACAACCTTTGGCAATAATGTCTTTTTCGATATTATTGAGCTCTTCTTTAAAGCTGGTGAAGTATTTGTACAGGGCCCAAACGAATGCTTGGTAGGTCCGGAAGGGAGGCTCGGAGCTCTTCTTGGAGGACGAAGAGGATGACGTGGAGTTAAGACCTGGAGGACAGGGCTCTACGCTGTGGCCGGTCACTTCATCAATAAACTTTTGCAGACGGGAAACAGCCTGCCCATAGGCCGCTATGTGCTCCAGTACAGAGTGAAGACAGTTCTGTACACAAATAGGAATATATAAACGCACCTTGAACCATCAATCCTATGGTTCTATCTTACACAATTACAAAAAAAAAAAGTTATCTTTATTTTAAGTGTTACAGTGTAATTATTACTATAGTAACTACATGTAATGTGTAACAAGGACACTGCAAAATAAAGTCTTACCATTTTCTTTTCTGACTTACAAAAATCAAAATAACACTTATTGAAATGATGTATGTTGGCACCCTCTAAAAACGAGATGGAGATTTATCCCAATCAATAAATACATGTAATTAATTCAAATCTGACTGGCACGTTCCCTACTATACGAGCATGGTAAACTTCCAAAAAATGGTAAACTTCCAACAAACCCCAAAAACTTAGGCCTGACAGGGAAATGATGAAAAACTGTCTCCACTCACATTAGTTAGATGAGTGACCACCACATCATTCCTCACAGTCACCTTGCCATCACTGTGCTGGAAAATGAAAAGTTTTTTTACACCAGAGAAGAGCCTGAGGAGAAGCAGAAAAGAACACATGATTTTTCCTGTGAAAAAAAAACCTTGATATGAGCAATCAGTCATCTTTGTGAAACATTCTTATCTGGGTAAGTAAACATTCAAGTGTCAGCAACCAGTGCAAACTCCATTCCAGAACTGCTCATTCCCTGCAGGTTTAAACTTGCATCCTTATACCTATCCACATATGCAATTTCCACATAAGATTATGTACTTTCCTTTGGTAAGAACATGTCTGTCTAGTTTTTCAGTGTAATCATGGCAATCTTAGATATGTCATACCAAAGAGTTTCCCGAATCACTTGTGTTTCTGTAACAAAAGACTTTTCCTCAGGAAGATAGAGAGGCCCAGTGTTATACAGGTGTTGATCCCTGGAGAAAAAGAGAGTGTGAGTGCAAAATAAAAAAATAAAAAACATTATGCAAAATTACCACATGAAATCTTTACTCAATTTAAAGATTGAACAGCATTTGCTTGAAAACTCTTATTAAATCAATTCATTGAGTCCAAATTAATGGGCTCGTGATTCTAAAAGCGAATAAGATATCACAAAAATGCCTAACCAGACGTTATAAAGGTTGGAGTGCAGGTGGAGGCTGTGTGGAAACCGGGGAGAGTTGGGAACCCAATATGAAGTGACAATATGCTGCTCCAACCAAGCCCTGGAGTCCGGCTCCCCCACTACAAAAACAAGACAGTAGGAACTAGGAGTCCTGATAACAACCTTCATGAAATGAACTAATGGCTACTGTGAGAAAACGTGCTAATACTGTCCCTTACCAGTCCAGGTGACTTGGACAGTCTTATCATTCTGCTCGTGGTCCTCCTGTGGCGTTCTGTCTACCTGTATACCAGAATCCTCTCTGCTCAGGGGCTGCTGGCTATCTTCTTCTTCACTCTCTTCCTCAGACCAGTCCTGCCAAAAGATCAAATTATCTGTTGTGCTCTATTACTGCTAACATACCATTAGTCAGTATAGTATACAATAGCACTGAGGCGTCAAGCCATCTGTCGCCTTGTCCCAAACTTGGTGGGAGCACTTCAGAATCTGTCCTGAAGAATTATTGTGTCTGTACACATACCAATTTCAACAAATCAGTTCCCGGCCTGATGTGATGCTAATGAAGAGCATAGGATGGCATTATGCAAATTTGTAGATGCAAACTTTTCTCTTTGCAGACCTTTTACATTCACAAAGAGCTATATGACACACCACATGAAAAGTAGTATCCGAAAAAGCATAATAGAGCACTTTAAAACGTTGCATTTAATATGCAAGTGAATATTGTTGTTAATTACTATGTATTGTTATATTAGAGCATATAAATAAATTCTGAAATATAATGTATTTATTTAGTGCCTTGGTTATTTTAAGTAGAATTTCACAGTATTTTACTTTAAATAAAAAGGACAGTTTTTCATTACAAAAAGATTTTAAATCTACTATTTCAAAATCTTTTGAATCTTTCTTTTTACAGCAAATACATAAATATTAATAAGCTGAAGAATTTTGACTAATCATTTATAAGCACTTTTGTATTTGCAAAGCTTTCTATTAAAGTATTTTATTATTTTCTAAAAGTTCTGAAGAGACAAAGGAAAAGGACAGTTTGTTCATAACTGATGATCTAAATCTCTTCAAAATCCTTTAAATCTTTCTTTTTAGAAAATTTATAAATATCAATAAGCTGAAAAATATTGGCAGATCATTTATAAGCCATATTGCCAAGCCTATTAGTACATGATACTAGACAAGAACTTATCTAATAATCTAACAGAGTTCACTCACTGGAGTGTCTGGAAAGGGCCCAGTATCAATTTCTTCTCCTTCCATGAGGTACTTTGGCCAATCAAACTTGTCTTCTTTCTCTGTAGATATAACATATTAATTTGTAGCGATTTTAGGCATAGTGTTGTCCAACAGTATGCATGTATTTACACAAAAGAGCATAAAAATCAAACCTGTTTCTTTCAGTCTGGGTCTTTCACAGTAGTTTGTGTTGGATGGAGAGTCAGACAGATGGAGTAATAAAGCCAGCATACTGTAATGGGCATCAGTCTGAAAACAGTAATAGAGATATTCAGCATATGTAGTGTTCCAAGTATTCTCTGGATGATGTCAGTGTTATCCCACCTTGGTTCCCTCGGTATTAGGAAGAGAAGAACTGAGAAATTCTTCAGTTAGCCGTATCCAGCTCTCTGCTTTGCTTAAGTCAGAGTGAACCATGAGTTTCTCATGAATCCTGGGAGAAAAAAAACCTCAATAACTAATTTTAATAATCAAAATATCAGCATAACAAAAAATCAAAGCTTCAGACTCCCTACCCATTAATGGATCGCTGCACATTATGTCTGTTGACATCAAGAAAATGGTGAAACCTATCAAGGGACAAAACACGATGAGACCTTCTGATTGATTTTATGCGCAAAAATGAAATGTTAAGTGCAAAAGGAAAACAATTTTTTCGTTTTTATTCAGTTATTTAGTTTTTTTATTAGTGTTTACTTTGCACAAATACATGCAAGCCATTACAGTAATAAAATGGAAGAATAAATGCGCCAAGTACTTGAAATTGGACCAAGTAAACTTCAGAGCCATTTGAAAGTTTTGATCTTCCTCATCCTGAATGGCAGTATAATGTGAGATGAGTCTCCGGGTCTCCAACTCCAGCTCCTTCTCAAACCTGCTCCAGTGAGCCATTATGATGATTCAAGGATCAACTGAAACACAAGATACATTAAAAAAAAATAGACCAGAGTCAGACAGACAGAGACACACACAGACAGACAGACAGACAGATATCTATCTATCTATCTATCTATCTATCTATCTATCTATCTATCTATCTATCTATCTATCTATCTGTCTGTCTGTCTGTCTGTCTGTCTGTCTGTCTGTCTGTCTGTCAGATAGATAGATAGATAGATAGATAGATAGATAGATAGATAGATAGATAGATAGATAGATAGATAGATAGATAGATAGATAGATAGATAGATAGATAGATAGATAGATAGATAGATAGATAGATAGATAGATAAAGACGAGCACAAACCTGCTTTTTTGGTTATGATGCTGACAGGGGCGAGCCGTTATCAACAGCTGCGGCTAGCAAAACAAGAAACCCATGACAAGGGTGCTACCTAAGTGTCACAGGTAAAGTGCCTTCTATCTCCCGAATATAGTCCGATAGCGAAAGTCGAACCGAGGGCTGACTTTAAATCTATTTATCTCATTATCATATATGTATTATGATTTGTGATTTCCCCTGTTGCCGCCTCCATGACTTCAGACGCTTCTTCTGTGGTGCCGTGTGAACAGTAACGCTGAGGGGAGCTTTATTGCCACCTATCAACCAGGACAGAACATGACGAGACACAACAAATCAACAGCCAGACAAAAACATCAAAAGTCCAGAAAAAAATCCATTCAGTATACAACAAATATTTTATATTTTATACCTTTCCATCATAAAGTATTTTATTATTTTGTAAAGGACTAACTTTAAGTAAAGGACAGTTTGTTCATAATTGATGCGTCACAGATTGTGCATTTACTACAAATAGTTTGAACAAAAAAGGTCTCGAATTGTATCATCAGATAGCGAGTTCACTGCATCTAAACTGTAACAGTTAACTTACCTTTCCGACCGCTAGCCAAAACAATGGTTCTGTATGTTACCTTTTACATAATCTACGATTGTTCTCAATCATGTGAAAATATGGCACATTTATATAGTATAGTGATGTTCGTTTATTGAATTACTTTACGTATTGGTCAATTTCTATTAAATACGAATAAAATGTGCTCGTATTTTGGTAGGTAGTCGAAGCTGGTGTCATTTTTCCACTCGCTTTGTGAGTGACCTCTTAACTATCCAATAACAATCTTCTTATGCGCAACTCCTACTAGCCAATCCTGGCGCAGGGGGCGGGACTTGACACATTACGGGTGAGAAAAAAAGATCCCACCCTCTAAACTTTACTGTTACTGCTGCAATCCAAGAGTATTCATACAGGTAGGAGACGAGCAGTCCGTCGAGATCCGGGCGTCACTCACTCCGCTGGGGCCATGAAGAGAAGGCTTCAGAAAAAATACATCATCTTGATTCTAGGATACTCCGTGGCGCTGATTTTAATTCCCTACGTGTTAGATTACCGGAGCAAATCGTCTCACATTAAAGATGGATATCAGCAACAAAAGTGTCCCGATCTGGAGAGCACCATCGCCCTGTGGAGTAGCACCAGGGCGGGCAACTCAACGGAGGTGGAGGACTATGGCAACAGGAGTCAGTCCAGAACACACATATACCTCCACGCAACCTGGAGGACAGGTTCCTCGTTTTTAGGGGAATTATTTAATCAGCACCCTGATGTGTTTTATTTATACGAGCCCATGTGGAACATGTGGCAGGCACTTTATCCAGGAGATGCGGGCAGCTTACAAGGAGCAGTGAGAGACATGATGAACTCTCTGTTTAGATGCGATTTCTCAGTGTTAAAACTCTACGCAGGCTCGTCCAACGTGAGCACCTCGTTTATTTTCGGCTGGAAAACGAACAAGGTCATTTGCTCCGAGCCTCTCTGCAAAGCGTATAAAAAACACGAAATTGGGTTAGTTCAAGGAGACGTGTGTAGCAAATGCCAGCCCAGAGATCTCAAAGAGCTGGAGAAAGAGTGCAAAAAGTACCCCGTGATGGTCATCAAAGACGTGCGGGTTTTAGATCTCGCGGTTTTGGTTCCTCTCATGCGAGATCCCGCCATCAACCTCCAGATAGTCCAGTTGTTTCGCGACCCCAGGGCTGTGCACAATTCTCGGATGAAGTCCAAACTGGCTCTGGTGAAGGAGAGCATACAGGTGCTGAGGAGCAAGAAGCAGAGCGACAAATACAAGCGCCTTCTGGTGCCTAGCAACAGGGTCCACCGAGCCGAGAACTATGTCTCCAGCGCAATGGAGTTAATATGCGACAACTGGCTCAACGACATGTTGCTCGTTATGAACGCTCCGCAGTGGGTGAGGAGAAACTACATACAGCTGAAATACGAAGACCTGGTGCTCAGACCTGTGGACGAGCTCCAGAGGCTCTATCGTTTCGCCAACCTCACCCTTTCTCCAGCCATGGAGAAGTTCGTGGTGAACATGACCCACGGACAGGGCTATTCTTCAGATAAACCCTTCCTCATATCATCCAGAGATGCCAAAGAGGCAATTTACGCCTGGAGGGAAAGGCTGAATGTGGAGCAGGTGAACCAGGTCGAAGCCTACTGCAGTGAGGTCATGAGACACCTGGGTTATCAGAAGAGGAACATGGACAAGACCTAAAACCACCCAAACATGAGTGTATGGTATGTACATGTCTAAATGTCAACAATGCATCATGATGTCAACCATTGGTTTGGCCCCAGAGCTTGGTGAGCTGACAGCATTATTTGGGCACTATGAAGAAACCTCAACACAAATGTAAGTGATATCAGGTCACACTTTGCATTAGTGTGCATTTTGCAGTATTGTTGTTACAGATACAGAGTGAAAAGGGGAAAAAAGTGTTTTTTGGCAAAGACACCATAAACATGTTTGTTTTTTTTGGACATGTGCCATGGTAGTACCATTTTATCCATGCAAGCACATGCTTCATGAATTTCAATGGTAACACTTCACAATACGGATCATTAGTTAACATTGGTCAATGTATTAACTAACATGAAATAACCTTAAGCAATATATTTGTTACTGTATTTGTTAATGTTAGTTAATAAAAAATAAAACGTGTTCATGTTAGTTCACAGTTAACAAGATTTTAATAAAGTATTAGTAAATGTTGCAATTAACATTAACAAAGATTAATAAATGCTGTATACGGTAAGTGAAGTTCATTATTAGTTCATGCTAACTAATGTAGTTAACTGATGAACCTTATTGTAAAGTGTTACCATTTCAATACCAAGATAACACTACCGCTCAAAATTTGGGGGTCAGTACATTTTTTTTTATTATTATTAAAAGTGACAGTAAACATTTATAATGTTACTAAAAATGTCAATTTCAAATAAATGCTGTTTTTTCATTACTATAGTTTTTATTCATCAAAGCATCCTAAAAAATTGTTATCTCGTTTTCAACATTGATAATAATAATAGGATGTTTCTTGAGCACTAAATCAGCATATTATAATGATTTCTGAAGGATCATATGACACTGAAGACTGAAGTAATGATGCAAAAAAATTCAGCTTTGCCATCACAGGGATACAGTACATTTTCATATACATTAAAATGATTTATATTGTATTTTTTATCAAATAAATACAGCCTTGGTGAGCATTAGAGACTTTTAACATTTACCATGGTATCCTTGGAATGCCATATAAATTCTATCATATACTGTATATACATTATATATATACCATGCTATTACATCTGATACCATCACTGTACCATGGTAAACACAGTGGTATTACATAAGTAGAGCGTTAATGCTCAATTTACACAAATTATTTTGTAAATCTGATTATTCATTTTTTTTTAAAGTACTAATGATTTTGGGCACAGTATTATAGTAATACCTCTTTTTTTTTTACCTATCCATGATAAAATCATGGTATACAGTATTAAATCTATGCACTTTCATAGTATATTTTTGTAAGGGAAATGCCCTTTATCTAATTTTATTACTATTGTAATTGACTTATATTTTCATGTAATATGTGAAATAAGCTCACTGCATGCTATTCTACTACTCTATATCAGGTCCAAAATGTGGCATCCATGATAAGAAAGGGCATGTTTTCTACAGTTTTAGATTAGCACAGGGTTTAAATTTGTTAAATGGGTTGGTTTACATGAATCTAGCACAACTATACATTAATGCTTCCATCTGTTACATGACAAGTGTGTCCCAGAATTGATTATGCAACTCTGTAACAGACAGTGTAGTTGTAAATATGTACATTGATTTTATTGGCAGTGTGCTGTTATGCAGTATATCTGAATGCCATGCACATATGCTGAGTGACCAGTAGCCTTAAACCAGGGTTGAGGCACACTTTCTGGTGTCAGTTATGATCTAGCCTATACAATGAGTTCTGTCCTTTAGAGGACTTTAGGATATGAATTTTATTATGCTTAGCGAACCGTTGAGGAGACGAAACGTGATGTTTTATAAAGTTATAGATTTTAATTTGACTATTGTTTATTGTTAATGTTTGTTTATAATATATTAACTTATATTAATGTTGAAAATGCATGTTAACCAAAATAAATACCGTAAAAGTATTGTTCATTGTTATTTTATATAGCCTATTTCACAAACTAATGCTAACAAAATGTTAGCATTAGTTAGCTAAAATTAGAGCTGTGCGATAAGGCTAATCATTAAATGATCACGGTCTCTACTCTCGATTCAAACACCCACACAGTCTTATTCCTAAACGACAACGATTTGGCCATGTGTGTTAAAACTTTAACAAGTAGCATATGATCACAGCGAACATTCAAATTTGTGTTGCCGCTGATTCAGAGAGAGCAGTTGTTATGTATAATAGGTTTGAAACAGCTTCGAAAAAATAACTTTTCAACCACACAGTATCATTATTTCTGTGTTCCAATAATTTAAATTACAGAAATACTGGGATAGTAGTTTATAGTTTGGATATAAACACAGATGTCTATGGTAGCAATCAAAATAGAGTAAATCACCTTTTGAAAGTAACAAAGGTAGGGTAGGCAATTTCGGATAGGCTAGCAATAGCAAAGCTAGATCCCACCCTCCCTTCAGAGCGTCTCCAAAGCTACACCTCCTCCAAAACACATGAATGCGCACAGCCAGAGCAGAGTCTGCAAAGCGTCCTGATAGATGCCGTTAAATTACCTCATGTCTCCAATAACATAACAATAATAATAAACATAAGGTACTTGCAAAGCTCTTACTTGTAGCACTTGACTGCTGCAAATTCATTTTGCCATTGATTGTGTTGACATAGAAACGCATAAATCCGAGTCTAAGGACGTGAACAGCTCTGAGTAGAACGTCACGGGTTGCCATCTCGTAATTACGGTTGCAACATGGCGTGAACGCAACAGAAGCTTGTTGTTTTGGTTCAGGAGGAACTGTAAAAGGCGGCTGCTGTTTGTTTGCGCCGCTTTGTGACTCCCTGTCTACAACTCTGCTTAGCCGTACGGGACGCGCTGATGGTGTGATGTCTGTGCGAGCAGGGTGTGCAGAGGTATGGAAATACATATGTTAACAGGCAGATAGGACATCATATCATTGCATTCGGACCGAATGCAGTGATTGGACGAACATTTTTTTATCCTGAGACTTCCATGGAAGATGTACGTTCAAATTAATTAAATAGTTTTGAAATGACAGCAGCAATTAACATTTTGTCAGAAACTCTAGTCAATTAAATGTTATAGTTTTAGTTGTCTATTCAGAATCGTGATATTCGTGATCTCTATTTTAAACAAAAAATCGTGATCCTCAATTTAACTAGAATTGTGCAGCTCTAAAGGGTATCATTTCAATGAATAATTGCTGGGCCATGGGCAAGAGTGTAGAACCAGTACACTATATTAAGCATTAATGATCATGAACATTAAAAAGAGACAAAAGAAGAGCCGAGTTTAGCCGAGGTCATTGATCCAGTCTGGAACCGACAGCACATGGAGCCAGTGGAGTCATACAGTTAATTATATCCTCTTGAACTCTGCAATGTCCTGGGGTATAATACTTTTATAAGTTCGAAACAGGCCTGGATCAGCGAAATGACCCGTTTCATTTGTACTCTAGTCAATAAAATGGGGAAAAAATGTTGTAAGTGGAGTCAGCACAACAAATTTACCATAAATATCTTCTCAGCACTGTGACCGGTAAAAATATCTGATAGCGGTACGTGACAAATCAATTAGCCATCATGCTTGAGTCTAATTTCATGGCAAGGCATATAAACGGTGCTGAATAACAGAGCGATGGATCATGATACAGGCTGCTTTGTTATCGCTATCAGAGGCATGTGATGGCAGCTGGTGTGACCTAACAGACTGACCACACGTGGTTGGAACGGGCTGAAATATAGGGACTGCTTTGTGCTGGTTAGCCCCAGTGCTCCCTGAGCTGAGTCTGTCACCAGCTCAATCTGTGACTTAGACATGTTGGCACCAGACATACATCACTGACCAGGACTGACCTATGTCTCTTGGTATCAGAGTTCATCACAGGATTATTTTCAAAAATTATTTTATTTTAAAATGTCTTTGATTGCTTTTGGTTTAACTTTACTGTTTGGGCATGCCCATGCATTTCATCTAGGCCTATATAAAAGAAACAATACAAAAAATATATTATATATATTAAATATATTAACCGCCGGCGGGCCCATTTGCCATTGCATGTTTAAAACAATAATATCTTAGTGAAAACCTAAAGTAATATTGCCAAACTATATATCATTTGAAAGCTTAAAATCTCTAGTTTTCATATTTGGTGGCTGTTATCTAAAATAAATTACAGAGGAGCAGTAATTTATCAATTTGCAACAAGAATATTTCATATTCATTTGGAGTAATTAGGCCTTTATTTTGAAATAACAATAAACACGAAAAATCATGAAAGATTGGTAGAAACCTCAGTTTGTTTTCATGCCATGAGTTCAAAAGATAACACCAATTCCATTTTATGAGAAAAAAAGGTCTGAAAATGTTTTAAATATAAAGAAAAATGTATGGATTCTCGATTTCTGATTGGCTGCGAGCTATAACGCTATAACGTAGTCTTTTTATGCATTTATTAGAGGTTGAATTCAAATCAAATACTGCCAAACCACCCATACTACTTCTGAATAGGATGTCTACTTCATAAATTGTATGAAAATTATGGAAATACATGGTTCAGATCACTCAAAACATATATGAAAATGGAGGCGCCCTTATATGGGCAGTAATGGAGTCTAGTGAAAAAGTTGGGTACTGCGCCCAAATAAAATTTTACTGAAAGCTCATTTTTTTAGATATCAACCTAAAATTTGGAATACAACTTGTTCAGATTCTTGTCTTTAATTTTCTTGCAGTTTTAGAGTAAAATATATTTTGTAATATATATATTTTATATAAAATATTAATAATTATATTTTTACATTACACCATTTCATAAACTCAAACTTATATAACTTTTTTTCTGTTTCATTTTTTATCATTTCTAGACTTCTACAATAATCTGGAAAATGTCTTCTTTAAAACAAGACCAGCCATAGGTCTATATTCCAAAGCATTCCTGAATTACAACCATTTAAGTTTGGATAGTGATTTTTATGTCTATGCAAAAAAAAGGGGGTGCCAGTTAACAGGTTAATTTTATAATTAAAGGGTTAGTTCGCCCCAAAAATGTAAATTCTGTCATTAACTACTCACCCTCATGTCGTTCCAAACGTTCAACGTAAGACTTTCGTTTGTCTTCGGAACACAAATTTTAATGTAATAAAATATATTACTACTTATAATAATTCAGGGTTCTGGGAATTCTGGGAAACCTGGAAAACGACTACTTTCCATTCCTGGAAAACATGGACAATTAGATCAAATGAAAAATGTATTTAAACAATTTTCTAGTGTTTCCCTTTAGTTTATTTATCACTTCATGAAACAATTAGTTTAGTTGCAGAGAGTGTTATGTTCAGGGATGCTGAATTTCGACGCACGAGAGAAGCGTTTTGAATAATGATGTTCAGTCTTGTGTTGGCCCCTGCAACCTTAAGCTAATGCTATTTACTGCTCAAATGTTTGCAGTGAATGTCAACTGGTAAGCAGCTATCTAACCTTGTTTACGAATTCAGCAACTTGCTTACTAATAATTTTGATCAGAGGTGTTTAAGTCAGAATCCGGCAATCCGCTCAAATCACCAGAGTTTTGTTCAGTGCACCAGAATTCTGCACATTCGTGAATTTTTTAATATGTAAACGAGATTCATTGTACAGTGTAGTCAGCATCATTGATTATATAATGGGAGTTTTCACAAGAGTGCAGAACTCAGTGAGCTGGCGCTGAACAGATTCAGTGATTATAAAGGAAGTCCTCTTTGTTTGCTATCTGTTTATAACCATTTCGCAATTTGAGAGTTTTATTTTTCATGCTGCAAAGTACACTGCAAAATTTTGGGAGTTACAACCATACTTAAATATGACTGAATATAAAATTGTGTTGATTGTGAACAGATGGGACAATAAAGTCTGATGTGTCAAAATGAATCTGCATTAAGTGTAAATGCAGACTAATAGTCCTGCCATTTGTTCTATTACATGTAATGCATTTCTTTTCATTTCATTTTTTGATTTGATTAAGCAATGTTTACTTAAAAATTAAAAAAGTATTTGGAGGCTACATGCTAATGTTTTAATTTATTATTTACTTAAAATTATTATTAGCAAATAATAATTCACTGACTTTATTTAATATTTTTATTTTGAAATATTTAAACAAAATATTTGTATTTATTTATTTATTTATTTTTTGCTATTGAAATTGAAACCGAGAACCAGTTGTCATACTGTATAATTAAGAGCTCATATTAAAAACTTTTTAGTTTTTATAGTTATAGATTTTATAGTTAAAGTCCCCATGAATTCAAAATTGACCATACTTACTTTGTTTGCCTAAACTGATCGTTTTGTGGTGAACAATTCATCCATGCAAATCAATCCACACAAAAAAATGTTTTGGCTTCGTAATCTTTAATCAAAATCTGAAATTTCCCCTCCCCTCTGCATTGGAGGACCTTCCCTGATGACGTAGGTTGAACGGTTTGGGTGTCTGCTTAACATCTGTAACCACACCCCTCCAACTGACAGTAGACAGGCTGAATGAAAACACCTACTTTTCTAGATCCAATCAGGTGCTAGTTGGAAAAAAAGCCACGCCCACTATTTTGCCTCATTTAGTATTCCGTTTCTCTCGGAAATACGTCACAACACTGGAGAAAAGTCGTTTGCAACTTCCGGTTCACGGGGACTTTTAAGTCATGGCCATAAACTGCACATATTTTAAAGGCTTACTGTATGGTTATGGAGAGAGGTATTACTTTAGGGCTTGATCCTTGTCTTTTATTTAGTGAAATTGAAAATGTCCTGGAAAATGATCGCTAAAAAAGAGTGGGAAGCCTGATAATGATCTGTATGTCTTGGAGGGAGGTTAATAAAAACACCAAAAGAAACAACAACAAAAATGTCTATTAATAACATCTTATTCTATTAGTAATTTCTAATTTCCATTTCCAGTGAGAATAGGCCTATAGGAACACACTGTTTTGAATTTAAACTGCCACACTGAATCTGTGACAAATTCCAGCGATGTCAGAAATCACGCTCAGTACTTTTACGACTTAAACTTTGTTGACATTCCACACAGAATCAGTGTTTTTACTAGTAAATGTCCCAATATCCCCTGTCCACAATAACACAGCTGAAGTTACTATGTTTCTCTCTGCTGTAGGAGCCTGATGTGCTGTAGGAACAGGAGAACAGAAGGGGAAAAGCCAGATATGAAGCTACACCAGTAGGAGCTGAGGAGAAACAACCCGAGATCTCCTTCGCAGTGCCGGCATGGGGCACAGAGTAGGCGACAGAAGAGTTTGATAAGAGACACTTACAAACCCACCGATCTCAAATGATACTGACAAGAGTCATGTAGGAAAAAGACTAACAATAACAGTGGGGAAACCCGTTCAAAATGAAACGGCTATCAAGGCTCAGTCCCGGTTGTGTCCTGACAGCCAGATTTCATCCGCAATAATCCCTGCCCAATCCCCAGCAGCCCATAATCAGCCACACGAGACAGGCGCTTGGGTCATTGCACATGCACTAGGCCTGGAGACAGATATCCCGTTGAGTGTTCTCAGTTCATTGGGTGGATTTCATTATGAAAACATTCCTAGGCATTCTTGCATTCATCTACCACGTATGAAAAGGGATTATGCATCATTGACACTCCAATATCTGTGGTACCACCCAAAGAAAACTGTGAAGCACAAAGTATAATTCAATGAGCACAAGGAAATTCTGACTTCTCTACAACAACTTCCAAGCAACAAGCAATTCCCCCTGGTGTGAAATTTCCCAGTTTCCCCGGGACATCACCAGTTTGTTCTTTTTGTATGAAGTCTGCACCGGGCTGTTAGACTATGTATAAAGAAGATAGGATTGCAATTTGAATAGTTAAATGGGCGGAACGTCTAATCGAAAACTAAAACACACAATCATGCTTTGAGGATACAGGTATTATTGTGCTCTCATAGAAATACTTTTACTGGTCAAAAACATTGACGGTATTATCATTTTGTTAACGTTGTTTTGTCACCTTTTAAACAACATTTACTCTAAAGCTATGTGAACCATCATGAATAAATGTACAGATCTCTTATTTATTAATAAAACTTGTACATACATTTTTGTAGTAAACACTAGTTTTCTTGTTTTATTATTATTTAATGACATAAAACAAATCAAATACCTTATTTAGGTATTGCTACTGAAGCCCACTTGAATATTTTTGGCTATTTTCATACATGTACAATTGTTAAACTACAATGTATAACACAGTTTTGTTGCATTATTGGACAGGCTGAGAGCATCTTTATGTATAACAATAATAATAATACTAGGAATGTATATGGGGGGGAAAAGCAATTTGGTGCTTCATACATCACAGACATAAAAATGGCAGCTTATGTATTTTGTTGTTGTTTGTTTATATGGCATATATTGACATGCAGAACAGCAAGTAAAAGATGAATGCTACAGGAGGGAGTTACATAGCCTGAAGGTACATACAAGTTCACCAATAATACGGTGCGGGAAAAAGCTACCAGACATGTTGGGAGATTCATTCAGAAGAGGAGTTATTTCATAACCCACGTGTTGCAGGATTACATGTGAATTCAGTCTTTTGCTACAGCCGGTTTAAGGTTCTCCACCTCAAACTGCGATTGCCACAAAGCCCATGAGGCTCATTTTCCAGCCGAAACTCCACGGAAATAGTGCAAATCTCCTTAATTCACATTTAGGTTCTGGTCAGGTGTTGAATTAGATTCTGTTGCCTGGTGATGCGTTACCTCACACAACCCTGTTGAAAGCAAACGACGGACAGCCTCAAGTGCTGACAATTGAGGCAGCTGTAAAGGTTACTTCATGAAAAGAGTGCACGGTTAGTTTATAATGACGTTGAATATAAATTGGAATGGATGATAACATTTCAAACATCTGAAAGTTAGTTATTAACTAAACGCTTAGACTTTAGACTTGCATTCATCAACAAGAATTCATGTCTAGACACGGAGGACTGAAGAAATGCACGTTGGCGGTTGATGGCAAGGGGTCATCCGTTTACTGTGTGAACAGACATACAGCTGGATCAATCTCATGCCGAGCATTCCCGATTCCGCCGACTGCCATTCAGCAGCAACTCATACATAATGGAAAGATCCACCTACAAGTACATTCTAACGCGAGCCGCAAAATGAACCCCACACACGTGAACTTTGATACTGATAAGAAAGTCTCCTTCATTACATCATCCCTCATCACATAAATTCTGGCTGTGTGTGCAAGTGGTTAATAATCGAATATAATATAGCAATACATGCAAGGACTGCAGCTCAGCTGCAGCTAAAGTGCATGGCTCATACACTCTGGTTGCATCCAGCGGTTTTAAAAAAAACTCTGTCCAAGTCTGTGCAGAACAACATTCATATTAACAACGACCAGCACATCAACCTGGCATTCATACAACCAAGATATTGAAGGAAATGTAAAATTCAACTGACTAAAGTTGAATATTACAAGGTTCCCGTATGCAGTCATGAGATAAACATGCACTCATGTCAAACAATGTTGCGATTATGTTCGAAAGCTTTCACAAACACTACTGCCATGTATGGCCTGGAGTATTTACAAACTCACTCATTTTCCTGATGGCAGAGGTGAGCATTTAAATGCAAAAGATTATCGTCTAATGTAATACTGGCTGTTTATACGTAGAAACTGACTTCCCTTCAAGAAAAATTGGCTCAGTCACATATGTCAATCTTATTTCCAGTTTGTGGCAGCATTGCTAACAGAAAACAAAGAATTAATGACTTAAAATGTTAATATGTGGCAGGCAGTGATCGTATGAAAGTGAATGTTAAGGGCAGCAGAGACTGTTCGAAATCAGTCCATTATCATATAAAACAGCAATAAGAACATTTAGTATCCAAAGCCATTTGAAATGCATTCTTAACAGCAGTTTTATAAAATTTTTTCCTCCTACAAGTCACATTTTCATGATGAGACACTGAATCGAAGTCTGTCATATCTTCAATTACGCCGCCTCCATTCTGGTAAATAATACCGAGCACAAACCCTCCTGCTCTCCATCTTTCTGTTTCCTTGATTTTTCAGACCCGCTGCATGAGATATTTGGAGGGGTCATGAATGGTCAGATGGAGTTATGTGCAAGAAAAGTTAAGGTATGAAGCACAGGGAGGCGTGGTTTAATGTTTGGGGGCGGGGTCAAGCGTGGTCCTCGATGGGGAAAACTAAACGTGTGCCACGGCTCAAGAGCTCATGTTCACGTGTGTCCAGTTCTCTCTCCAGAGCGTCTTCCGATGTGCTGTCGCTGCGTTTGCCGTTCACGCCCCAGCTCCCGGCCGATCCTTCGGGGCCAGAGGATGACGAAGCTCCGTTGGCCGTGATGGCCGTGTCACCGTAGGTCAGCGTCAGGTCTCCTTCGTTCAGGATGAGGTCTGAGTCACTGTCTCGCAGCGGCTCGTGGTTCTGAGGAGCACAGTGACAAGTCGGACATGAAGGGAGGAGGACGGGATGCTTGAAGTCCACACACACACACACACACACACACACACACACACACACACTATTCAAGCACAACACAAAGGTTCATGAGGGACACTGTGGAGTCACAAGACGACAGGATAAAAAGAGAAATACACTTAGATGTCCTTAAGAGAAAAATCACATACTTACCTGTGTTTAATGCAGCCTTCAAGTTCAGTTGGAAATACCATAAATTTATAGTATGTATACCAAATGACCAACCAATATTCGCTACAGCACTACTGAATGCTTGATTCTGACACGGTTAATGTCTTGACGGCAAGAGCTAAGCAACGCAACCGCATTTCCGGGATAAACATTGGAAAGAAAATGTCCTGAAATTGAAAAAAAAAAAATATGTGTGAGATTAAAAAAAATTCTTGATGAAGATAAAAATGTCTTGATTTAAAAAATGCTTGCCATTTAGAAAAATATCTAGGTTAAAAACAGTGTAGGTTTAAAAAAAAATCTGGCTTAAAGAAAATGTATTCATTATTTATAAGACAATGCATAAAAGTGGTGAAAATCACGTTTTTAATGTTTATATGTCTATGTGTTTTTTTTTAATATGGTTTAAGACAAACCATGTGCCAAAGCATAAGTCAACACCATTGCTGAGTATTTACTCCTTAAAATTGCAGTGATCTAAAGACAGTCTCAAAAACACAGTTGAAATCGCTGGTGTTTCTTACGTCACAAACTACCTTGTAACCAATCACATACAAGGCGTTCATATTTTGTTTTTTCATTTGAACACGTGCCATCGCAACAATAAACAACTCAGACGTAGGAGCTTCCCAGATGGACTTGAAGGCAGCATAAGCAAAGATAGCAAATCACCAAATTTACACAACATCGTTCACATTATGCATATGTAACAAACATTTTGCAAGAAAACCATCTCCCACAGTTTAAAGTCTTGCCATGCACAGATCACTGGGTTTAATGGTACTTCATACAGTCACTGGGTTCTACTGAAGGGGGTTGTCACTGAAGCACAATCATACCAGGGGATTACACTATGTGCCAACAGATCACACAAACTAAACTCTGTTATGCAACAGTTAGCTTTACATATAGCCGCTGTTTAAATCCTTTGAGAAGGATCTAAATAATGCCTGTTCCATGTTAATGGTTTGGGGTGGTGTGATTTAGTCAATGAAGATCACCTGTTTAAAGGATTAGTTCACCTCAAAATGAAAATTTCCTTTTAATTTACTCACCCAAATGCCATCCAAGATGTTCATGTCTTTCTTTCTTCAGTGGAAAAGAAATTTAGTTTGAGGAAAACCTTTCAGGATTTTTCTCCACACAATGGACTTCAAGCGCAACCAACATGTTGAAGTCCAAATCAATGCAGTTTTAAAGGGCTATGAAGTGCTTCAAATGGCTCTGCATGTTCCCAGCTGAGGAATAGGGTCTTATCTAGCGAAACGATCGGTCATTTAAAAAAATAAAAATAATAATAATTATATACTTTTTAACCACAATTGTTCGTCTTGTGCTGGTCGGCGACGTGCCAGGCATTACGTCATCACGTTGGAAACTTCACAATTTTTGCTTTGTTTTAAATAATAATAAATTAAACAAAGATGTCAGACGATTTTAAAGTTGGAGGAGAAAACGGGAGAAAATGAGATGGAATTTTTCGCCCTTCCCTGCTTTTTTGAACCGGAGTACACAGACAAATAACTTAGATGACGTGACGCGTGACATTTTCAACGTGATGACGTAATCCCTGGCGCATCGCAGACCAGCACATGACGAACAATTGTGGTTAAGTATATAAATGTTTATTTTTTTCAGAAAATGACCCATCGTTTCGCTAGATAAGACCCTATTCCTCAGCCCTTTGAAACTGCATTGATTTGGACTTCAACATTGTGTGGAGAAAAATCCTGAAATGTTTTCCTCAAAAAACTTCATTTCTTTTCCACTGAAGAAAGAAAGACATGAACATCTTGGAAGGCATTGGGGGTGAGTAAATTATCAGGAAATTTGCATTCTGAGGTGAACTAATTAAGTTCTCAAAAAAAAAAAAAAAAAAAACTAGACCTGAGCTCAGTGCATCAGCAGAGTTGAGGAAAGTCCTTAACTCAGTTAAATCAGCCATTAAAGCAAAACAAACCTACCCACAGCTAATAATGTACATA